TTTTCATTTATTATTGGATTTTAAATCCACTAAAAACTAAATAAAAAATTAAAATCCCAAACGGATAATAAATTAATAACAACAGTGTAATGCAATAAAAAAATAATAATAGTCTAATTACACCCAAGAAAAAATTAATACTCTAATTACACAACATTCAAGGTCTCTAGTCCATTGCTCCGCCGTGTCAACCCTAAACATTATCAGGATTTGCGACGCTGGATACGGTGGCTTGACAGCGGCCTCAGACAGCTTCTATTCTTCGGCTTCTGGGTACAGGAAATCTAAAGCCTTCCCTTTTTTCTGTGTCCTATGGTTCTTCATTTTGCTCTCATAACCTGAAACCTTGACTTCCATTCCTTGGTCTTTTCTCATTTCAGGTACATTCAGAAAGAAAATTCGAAAATTTCGATTCAATTTCAAAGTTAATACGACATTGCCTACTTCTTTTTAAGAATCGCCAGATTTTGATCTCAAAATTGTCACTTTCTGCCACATAGATTAGATGAACAAGCAAGCATTGAAGCAGCTAGGGGCAGTGCGGTTCAGGGCATTATGGCTTTGTCCCCGGGCACTAGGTAAATCTTTTTGGGGTTCAAGTGTACTGTTATTTTTTTTTATTCTTTTAGTGATTGACTGGATACTTTTCTTAAATTGGATCCGTATATACATCAATCAACCAGCTCACCACGGGCTGGATAAGCGCATCTCACTAATCTGGGAAACAATCCATATATACATCAATTGATGCATAAGCTGTTACATAGCTGCACTCTGTTATCGAATGTATCTCATTTGATACTTTAAACTTGGCATCTTGGACATGCATGTCTCTATTAACATTAACTTCCCTGAAGAAGGTAGTCTCTGCTATGTTGTTTATTTGTTTCCCCAAGGAGTTCTGCTTATTGCAGATCAATCGAGTTAACCCTTCTAGCTGTCATATAGAGTGCTGAGTTCTGAAGAGAATTTCTAACGTTATGGGTTTGTTTGGCTGTTGTTCTGTTTAATATTCTTGCTTCTGCTATTAAATAATGAGGAAAAAATTGGTATTGAAGAAAAAGCGATTCCATTATATTTGGATTAAACATATGAAATAGTGTTTATTAGTTAGACATGCAAAAAAATTAGGCTGAAAAACACTCAAAACTACATGGTTGCAATAAGGCACCATCCAAAAATATTAAAATAGTCTATTTCATGTTTTAAAAATTAAATTGTTTAGCCTTTTTTAATGAGAATTTATTAAAACAATAGTTTTTGGGTATTTTGTTGCCTGATATTTTGTTTGTCTAACTGTTAAACATTTTTTCCTATAAAATAGGGAGTTTCATTTTCTTAAGGCATTGGCATTATTGTTTTTTCTTTTTCTTGAGTCCTTATTGAAAGTGATTGACTTTAGTTTAATCCATTGTTTGGGGATCACTTTGATTCTGAATGGCATTTCCGTCCAAGAAAATAATGTTTGGTGAATTGGTGTTAAACTAGTTATTCTTGTTTCTAGAACAGGCGACAGATATTTGAAGCCTGTTACTATTCTTGACAGGGGTTTTCTGTCAAGCGTCTCAAGCTACTTGTCTTGTGAGATGGGATTTGACTGTCCTATGGAAGGAAGTCATGGTGTTGGCACTATGGCTGCATTTGACCACAATGCTTGGCCTCAGATATACAAGATGGAAAGTGTGAAGCATTCGATTTATCTCGAAGTGTTTTGGCTGCTTCATCAGTAACCCACCTTGCCTTGGCACAAAAAAGCTCTAATTAGTCCAGGCCAATATCATAGTTGTCCATCTAAAGAGGATTTCACAATTACAATGAAGGTAACATAATAATTTAGTATTTTAGAAAAGCATTAAAGAGTTTAATTATAAAAGAAAAGAATAAAAGAAGTTTGTATCCAAGATACCATAAAGAATATTAGAACATATATCAATAGAACTAAACAAGAAGAGTTTGACCACGTCAGTATTCATTTATTTCAAATATTTTGGTTTGAGAATATGGTATTAAATTCTGGGGTTCAAATCCTGTTGGCACTCATTTATTTCTAATATCATGGTTTGGGAATATGAAATCAAAGTTAGGGTTCAAATTCTTTCAATAGAATATATACTTGATTAGTTCTAGGATGCCAAGAATTAGTGAATAAACTTCTTTTTGAGTTTCATATAACAATTTAAATGTCTAGATTTAATGAGATTGATTCAATACCTTTGATGGCCCTGGAACTTAACATTGTGTATGTGTGACCATACTAGGATTGTTGAGATAGGTGGGATCTATGTGACAGGGTATTAGAGGGATCTGGAGTGTTCTTCAATGTGGGGATCTCAACAATCAACTCACTAAGGTGGACTCAAGAAGCTAGACAAAAACTGTATGAAGTAGTAAAATGTGTGTCAAGTGATATTAGATAACAATACCTTGGGTTTAGTATAAGTTTGGAATGACTGTCAGTTTGTTCCACCTCATGTGTGAATAGCTGAGCTAAAGTGGGCTTGTTGAAGTTAGATTGAGCTCAGGGTTGGGCTTAATAGCTTGCACACAAAGGGAGTAGCCAATGCAATAGGGTTGGCTTTGGCCATGAGTGGCTTTGGGGTGGCTAATAAAGCCAGGAACTAGAGTTGGGTGGCATGGAGAGTAAAGGTTCAAAAAAGGATATTAACTTTGCACTTTTTTCTATTTAAGGATGTTAATTTTGTCAGTTTCTAAATAAGGATGCTAATTTTTAACCTTTTCTATTTAAGGATGCCAACTTTCGACTTTTTCTATTTAATGATATCAATTTTCAACATTTTAATTAAAAAATACATGTCACGTCAACGTCACCATCCAATTAATAGAAAAAGTTGAAAGTTGGTATCTTTAAATAAAAAAGTTGAAAGTTGACGTCTTTAAATAGAAATAGTTGAAAGTTGGCATTCTTATTTAGAAATTAACAAAATTAACATTCTTAAATAGAAAAAAATACAAAATTGACATCCTTATTTGCATCTTTTCTCCTGGCATGGGTGTTATCCAACCTTGGGAAGGATGATGGGGTTGTATGATGCCAAACCTTCTTTAATATAATAATTTTAATCAATAAGTTTAGAAAAGGAAACTAGTTAACTTGTGCTTTCTCTTATGGAAACGCAACTTGATTATGTAGCCGTGATATTTAGTGCGTTTTTTATTACAATTTTATTCTTAATTAAGCTCTAAACCCACGCTATAGACTGAACCGGGCCTTTGAGTCCAGTGATTCATCCCCAAGCCTTCAGTGCTTGGGTTTAGTTGGTTGGAAGTTTGACTCCCACTAATGGCTTGAAAAAATATCCTCCATCCCCCAAATTCCCCAATGTTAAAAAAAAAAGAAAAAAGAAAAACCTGCGCTATCAACAATTCATTAGTACTATGCCTTGTTAGCAATTATTATTGAATATAATAATACTAATTCATAATTAAAATTAATTTTTAATTAATAGGTATAAAAGCCATTTCAAACTTATTAATTCATTATAAATAGATATTTAACTTCCATATCAATTGAAATTTTTTGAGATTAATATGATAGAGTAGTTCATCAAATCTTCATTAACTTCTTTTATCTTTGCGTATATAACCATTACTATTATGTCTCTCTTATTTTACCCCAAGGTGTCTCCTCTCACAAAATGTCCACTTTAAAAATGTTTTAAGTCAAAATATAAAACACATAGCTGATTTGCATCATTTTCTTGATATTTTTTCCCTTACTTATACTCCAACTTTTATTAATTTTTCTTATGAATCTATCTCTTAGCTTATGTCTCATATTTTATCATCATAATTATCTATCTACCAATATTCCTTCTCACTCACTCTCTCTATATTAATAATTCATTTCTTATTATTCTTTCTCCCCATATCCTCTACGATATTATTCTTTTTTAGTCTCTCATTTCAGATATTGCCTTAACCTTTCATTTGAACCAAAAATGGTCCCAACCTTTTCAAAATCATCAAACCTAATCCTATGAATTAGTTACTTTATTTATGTTTCTAATAGAAATCCTAGTTGGAATTTTATGGAACCCATCCAAATCCTATAAGATTTCAAGGCCTAACTTTTATAGTTTCTAAAACTGATTCCCGAAATAAGGGTTGTGTCAATTAATAGAGAAAGATGAAACGGAGATTTGGAGTTGTAATTAAAAAAAATAAAAAAAAATAAAAATCTCAGAGATTTAGGTTTTGGTAGGCTTTTTCCTATTTTAATGGTCCTCATGGGTTCTACGAAATTCTGGCTAGGATTTGTGTTAGGGACTTAGCAGAGGTGACTAATAGTAGGGTTAGGCTTAGTGATTTAGAAAAAGTAGGGTCTGTTTTTGGTCTAAACGAAAGCTTAAGATAATATCTAATACTTATGGTAGAGGTTGAGTACTAAATTCGGTATTTAACTTATTTTCTATTCCAATTCTTTCAGTCTCTCTCCCTTTATCTATATTAGACATGTTATAAGTGAAAATATAAAAGATAACTTTTTAGTGTTATTTCATTGGTACTTTTTACTTGTGTACCATTACTCTTATCTTTCATTATTTTTTTTGGTAACATCATCTCTTAGCTTACCTTCTTACATTTTCTCACTATATTTATCACTCTAAATTATATTAGCCCTCACTTATGTCTTTATTATTACCCTCCCTTCCATCTTCCATCTTTATATTAATAATTTGTTTGTTATTATTCTCTCCGTATTCTCCCCTCTATCATTCTTCTTTATTCTTCTTTAGTCACTCCTTGCATCTTTATTTATCATTATATATCTTTTTACCCCAATTTTCCTCTTTCTATCTTATTAAGTATTCTCCTTTTTCTTAGTATTACAATAAATATATAATTATCTTAAAATCACTAATAATTTACTAATATATGCAATAAATTTTCATATCCACACAGTTATATGTTTTAACCAATGTAAGGTAAAGACTTTACATTATTCCTCTCATTTTCCTTTTTTATATTAGTAATTTATTTGTTATTATTTTTCCTCTTATTATGCTCTCATATCTTTCTTTTTTTTTTTTTTTAAGTCACTTACCTATACTTCACCTTTCATTAATTTTTTTGGGGATTTTGTCTTCTAGCTAACTTCCTCACATTTTGCTCTGCATTCGCACTGATTTTTTCTCATATATTAATAATTTGTTTGTTTTGTTATCAATCTTTTTCTCTTTATCCATACTCCCTCAATATTATTCTTAGTCGCTTCTTGCATCTCTATCCATTATTATATACCATTTTTACCCAAATTTCTCTTTCTCTTCTTGTGTGCATATTAGAATTGTTTAACTTTTTATCTTAACAAATATTTTTCAAAGTCTGTGAGTGCTCTTTCTTTATCATTTTCATAATTTTTTTGATTGTTTAGGTTTTTGATAAAGAAAATGTCAAAACATTTTTAGGTTCATGTCATAGGCACTTTCTTTTTTTTTTTAGGTTCCTTAGAGGTCATCTTATTTCCCATTACGCTTTGTTGGTTTGTTTGGACCTCATGTTGTACTTTCCAAATTAGTCTTTCAAGTTGATACACATTGGTTATATGTGGCTACTTTAAATGTAATATAAGATGTATCTACGCTAACTAAACACATTGTATAATTGTAATAAAAGTCATTAGATATTTGAGTAAGTTGTTCTTAACTTTAATAATATGTAGATGTGGAAGTTAGATTATTATATGGTAATTGAAATAAAAATGTAAAACAATTATTAAGAAGTTTGATATAATTGGAGTATTGTTAAGTATTATTATATAGAGAATTAATTTAACAAGAAATTATATGTATAACACGCACAAAGAAATTCGAAAGAGTATTAATTTGAATTAACCGAGCTTCAAACTCTTCAATGAATTTTCATTAAGAGGTTCATTGGGTATTTGTTTAAGTAGGGGTGAGCATTGGGTACAGAGACAACCATTACTTACAAGTGCTTTATTTATTTGGGTAAGTGTTTTATTTATTTGGGTAAGTATTATACCCGAACTATAAAAAAATATGGTAAATAATGAGTATGAAAATAGCATACCCGTAAGTATAAGTCAAGTAACAAATATAGGGTTTTAAAACCATTTACCTGACTTGTTTAATTGACTTGTTTAACTAATCTGTGACATGTACTTATATAATTAAAATTTTATATGTACTTATTATATTTAATACTATATAATAACAATAATTTTTAAAAATAAAAATAGTAAAATACAAAAATAAAAATAAAAGTAAAGTAAGGCTTGTAAGCCAAAGAAATCACATGCAGCTAAACATATGACACACGCAGCAATAACAACTTGTACAAAGTCTCTTTTTTCCCTTAGCCAAGTACACAAGTATATACTTGCAAGTTATCTAGTACCTATGTCTTCAATAATTTTGGTAAGTACCAAGTCTAAAAAGCCGTACCTGAAAATTTTCAAGTCAAGTACCAAGTATAACTCATACCTGACCTGAACTTGAAAATGCTCACCCTTATATTTGAGATTTTAGAGGATTTTAGAAGGATTTTAAAAGGCTTATTGGGTATTTATTAAAGATTTCTTGAAGATTTTAACAATTTTTATAAATATTATATATTATATACTGAGATGTAGTCAAGATATTTTTTCCATCTTTTATGGAAAGACAATAAATTGAAATGCCATTTAAAATTTAACCTTAGATAATCAATACAGCTCAATAGATTATAACATCCAAATTTAGTCCCAACATTACCACATTTGCACAATTGTCAACCATGCTCCACTTCAATGAGTCACAAAACCAGCACCTTTAATTTTCCCTTTTACATTTTTCTTCTCCTATATATATCCCACTCAAACACATCCATTTCTCACCTCTGCTTGTCTTGATCTCCCCTTAATCTCTTGGTGAGTAACGTTTCTTGCTTAAGGAACTTGAAGTACCTTTGAACATGGCTACTCCACCAGTTTCCTTGAAGACACTACACGCTTCATCCTTAATGAGAGGCCCAATGGGGAATCTAATGCCTGTTTATGGGTTGATATCTATTAAAGGGCTTTCGGTTAATATGAATGCTAGATGGTTTGTGAAGGAAGACTTTTGCAGGCCAGATATTTTTGGTGGCATCCCTCTACATTTCTTTGCTGTATATGATGGTCATGGAAGCTCTCAGGTAAATATCTCTTCCTTTGGAGTCTTTTGGGTTTGTTTTATCTCTTTTATTTCTTACACAGAAAATACACAGGTGTCCTCATTGTGCAAAGATTTATTGCACATAATTGTAGCAGAAGAGTTGATGTGCATCCGGTATATGGGATCTTCTTCAACTGGTGCAGTTAGGGTTAATGGTAATACTTCCAGCTCAGCACGAGGTTCTCATCAGCAAGTTGTGGATGCAAATATCTGGGAGGGTCACATACAAAGAGCCCTAAGGAATAGCTTTGATAGGATGGATCGAGAAGCTATAGGCCCCTGTTATTGTAATGGGACATCAAATATATGCAGATGTAGGCCAACTCTGCGCAACTTTTCAGGGTCTGCAGCCAATGTGGTAATCCTTGCATTACACCACATTATAATTGCTAACTGTGGAAGCTCACGAGTGGTTTTGTGTCGTGCTGGGAAAGCCATTCCACTATCCAATGATCACAAGGTTATTTTATTCTACCAAGAAACTCTTAGTTTATTGTGGTTGGTAAAGGTCATTTTTGATATTTTAATTATGCTCTGTGTTGTCTGTTTCATGAACCAAAATGTTAATTTACAACAAAATTTAAAACAAATACAAATTCACTATATAATTTTCTCACTTGAAAATACACAATTTTTTTTTTTCCATTTCAAAATTAATTTTCTTAGTATTATTTTTGTCTTCTTTTGTTCTTTGTTTTTTTTTTTTTTTTTGGCAGCTTATTTATTGTTTTCCTAATTTTATTTTCCTTTTCTGCAACCAGCCAGACAGGCCTGATGAACTTGAGAGGATCTATGCTGCTGGTGGCAAGCTTATAGAGAGGGATGGGCTCAAAGTTAATGGTATACTTAACATGACCCGTGCTATAGGTAATCTTATTGATTTATTCTTCGTTTAATTATGGTGATAGATCTATTCACCTTATGTATTTGATCATCAGTTTATTGCTAAGAAGCAGAATTTTTTGTATTTGTAGATGTCACTGTGGGCAAGGTGTTATGATTGCCTAGTGCTTGTTTTATGAACTTAGAGTTTGATATCTTGTAAATTTTATATTCAAGCAATTTGAGCTATAGGATTAGTGAGTTGTATTTAGAATTGTTCTTAAGACTCTGTTTGTCATTTTAATTCTGTCTATCTTGCTACTTTGGTTGAGTGTAATTTTGTTGTTCTACCTGGTGTTTAAATATATGTGTGCTTAGTTGAGCATGAAAATTGTTGTGTTTACCTCTGTTTGCATCTTAGGGACGAGGCTACCTTCTTTACTGCATTCTCCTTGATCCCCTTCAAATCACCAACTATGACACTGATGCTGTTATAACTTTCCTATACTAGAGCAAGATGACTATATAGATGCTGCAAAGGCATTTTCTGTCGGAAACATTTTAATCTTCTCAGTACAGTAGAGTGATAAATCACTTATTACATAGATCCCTTGCTTGAGCCATTACCTTATTTTCTGGCAAAATTACTTGTATATAGCTCTTAGTTGTTTGCTTGTCTTCCTAGAGGTTGAGTTATTAGTTTAGAAAAGGAAGAAAAGGAAAAAGAATAAAACAATGTGTGGTGGCAATCATAGAATGGCTTTGATAAATAACAGTTCCAAGAAGTTTCCCTTTTCATTTTGTAGATATCACTACAATGAATTATTTTATCTTTTCAAAATGTAGTCATTGGTACGTAGACTCCATTATTAATTAATTTATTATCTTTATGTATTACACAAAGCAATTGATCAAATTTTAATCCTGACATCTTCATCAACAGGTGACTATTATCTAAAAGAGGTCATAATATCAAAACCTGAGGTCACCATCACAGAAAGAAACGTTGATGATGAGTTCTTGATTCTTGCTTCAGATGGCCTGTGGAGTGTATTGTCAGATGCTCGGGCTTGTGAGATGGTTAGCTCATGTCTTAAGGATGAGAGTCCAGCTACTGCTCCTGGATATCATAATCCAGGGCACTCGGTCACTGATGGAACGGAGGCAATGTTTCCTACTAAAAATGACTTTGCAGCAACTATACTCGCAAGGTTTGCTTTGGCTAGGGGAAGCCAAGACAACATCAGTGTCATAGTTGTGGGTTTGTCAAGGGGCTGAGGACTATGGAATGGGATGATTGAACTAAGGATGTTTTAGTTTTTTTCAGTCTCTTTGATGTATGGTAATATGTATTGGGATAAATTATGAACGCTTAAATTGTCTTGTTGTTTTGGTAAATGGATGCTTTAGGGTCTTGGATGTTTGGTCACATTGGCTCAAGTGTATTTGGTTTCAATTTCAAGTTCCAGCTAGAGAAATAAAAAACATAGCCTAGGAAGCATTATAAATCATTTCTAAAAGCTTATGAAATCTAGATTCATGATTCTGAAATTATGTTTTTGTGTGATTGGACATGTGACATAAATTTATGTGGAAGAAGTTTTCCATATTTAATTTCTATTTATTATAAGGAATTAATGTAAAGTAAGTTATTTTTTTAAATTCGTTTTAGAAGACATGTCTAAAATTTAATTTTTTTAAAAGTTTCATTATATAAATTATAGATATCAATTTTTATATTAATTTAACGTTTATAATTTTTTAGTAAAAAATTTTATTTATTGATATATATTTAATAAAGTTAAATTTTATATAATTAACCAAATAGCAAAACTTATTAAATCATTTTAGAAGTTAATTTGCATGATTTATATTAATAAAAATTTTAATTTAACTATTGATTTTAAAAAATATTAATTAAAAATAAATTTTTAAACAGGTGTTTTTTTTTTTAAATATAAGATGATGACATGTAAAATAATTTTTCTTTATTTATAATTCATTGCTGATAAATATAATTAATTTTAAGAAATTGCAGTTCTATCTTAGGTTGTGTTAACAATTTCATTAACCCATGAGGAGTGCTAGGGAGACTCGCCTTCTGCACTCTCCGGCCAACACTTCCACTTTTATTGGGTCACGTTATTCTGGTCGGTAAGAGTCTCAAAGCCCGAAACAAGCTTACGTGGCTCAATGAAAGGGGAAGTGTTGGCCGGAGAGTGCAAGAGGCGAGTGCCCCTAGCACTGCTCTTAACCCCTAATGTAAATATGAGCATTGAATTCAAAATAATTAAAATTTATATCCTTAATTGAATATGTTGAAAGTTTATGTCCTCACCTTTAGTTTGCCCTGTTTTAAGGATGTGCTGGTTTCCACTAATAAATATTTCAAGTCTTACAATAAATTTTCATCGTTGATTCTACATTCGAACTTATTTCCAACGGTTGAGATGATGATCCCATGTTTAATACTTTAATATTATTATTTCAACCACTGAATTATAAAATATAATTAATAACTGATAATTTATATGAGACTTGTATATATGTGTGAATTTTCTCTCTTTTAAGTCTATTATTAGTGATTGTTCATATGATTAAAACATAATTATTTGGAAGATGTTTATCAATTTTTCATGCTTAAATTTGAGTTCTCCACCCTTGCATCATAGTGAGTATGTTTGATTTAAAAAAATAAAATAAAATGATACAACAATATTTTTCTATATTTCCCCCCTCCCCTCCCCTCCCTCATTAACTTGATTAAGTTAAAAGCAAGAATAGAATTGAAAGAAAAAATATATATAATACAAGAGAAGCTTTTCCCTATCCATTCCCTTCATTTTTATTGTAACAAGATAAAGCAATTGTCTCCACTCCTTTTCATTTTTCCTAAACCAAGTATATCCTTAATGTATCCTCTAAACCTTTTGTTGTTGGTAATATTATTGTTGGTGCATACCAAATAACAAAAAACTATTCCAATCTTTTTTTTTTTTTTTTCTCTCAAGTTAGAGCACCTGTGATTATTTTTTACATATCTCAAGATTCATTCTCTTTAAAAAGTCATCCACACATTAAAATTAAAGAATTCATGATAAATAAAACCTAGGTGAACAAAGTGAATAGTAAATGCTTTTTCCAACTAAACTACTGCTTAGTAGGACAAAACTCCTCTTTAATTTATGTTTTATATAGGTTGGTAACACAATTATTAAGATTTGTTGTTGGTAATGTTACCTCACAAAGCAAAATAGAAATATAAATATTCTCTCTTTATGGGCATGCTTACTCCATTTCTTACAAAGTATAACTTTAAAACCCTTAACACGGAACATTATGCAAAATGGAGGTCCTAGGCTCCTAGCACCATTTAGTCATTAATGAAATATTTATATGTGAATATACGCAATTAAAAGTGAACCAAGACAGATGTTTATCATCATCGAATCATAAAATGATAATTTATACGTGTTCAAAGTAAATCTTTTAAATTAATGAAAGATCTATGTATTATATCACACAAAAGAATATTATTAGAAGTAATCATATAGGATACTTAAAAGATTAAGTGAGGTTGTGTTTGGGGTTACTTTCCACAGCACTTTTTCTTACTGCACCTTACAAAAATGTTAATTTATAATAATTAAATTAATTTTAATTGATATTTTGTAGAATTTTATAATTATATTAATGTATACCATTTTTTCAAAGAATTATCAAACATTAA